TTTAAGCAGAACGGCCCGTTCTGCTTTTGGAACGGGCCGTTCCGCTTCCCAGATCAGCCCACATTTGCCCCATACACGAAAAAAAAAAAAAATTTAAAACCAACTCAGAATTCGGTTCCCCGAGAACCGAATTCTGAGTTGAAAAAACAAAAAAAATTACATTTTGATGCTCAGAATTCGGTTCCCGGGGAACCGAATTCTGAGCTTGAACAGTAAATAGTTCTATCTTGGTAAATAATCCTGCACAGTGATCATTCTTGTAATTTTTTTTAAAAAAAATATTATTCCAGTAAAAAATTCGACGAGCACAATCTTTATTGAGCCTATTGCCTTATAGTCGGGCGTCAGCTATTACTTGAGAAAAAAAAAGCTTTTAACAAATAAATTAATCATAAAAAGAAAGAGGAATATAAAATGAATTCCATTGCCGGGAATCGAACCCGGGTCTCCTGGGTGAAAGCCAGATATCCTAACCGCTGGACGACAATGGATTTGTGAGCATTTTTCACCTTTTTTATATCTCCAATATTAATATACAAAATTATAAAATTTATTTCCGACCCGGACAATTTTAGGGGTCTACAGTTCTTCCTCAACTTCATGAGTATTAACACGACTAGATTCATGACAAGGATGTCGAAAGTAGGCTATAATGTTATCATTTTTGCAAACAAGGCTTGTAGACCGACTTCATGTTAGCGTTGCATTACATTTAGGGCCTCATGATTTTGTTGTCGCATCAAATTCTATTTGATATATAAGTCTACATATAACTGCATTATCCTCCATAGTAAATGTGCCACAATTCTCTTGTTTAGATTTGTCTTATAATTGGCTTCAAGTTGAGACCATTTGTGGTCGAAGGAAAATTTACTTCGACCCCATGATGAGCGCCAAAATGTTCTTACCAAAAGTAAGAGATACTTCAACTTTACGTTAATCTCCTTCTCCAAGCTCTTTATTTGTGATCTTCCAATGTGTATATGAATTGTATATCCTCTGAAATTCCACAAGGAGAGGTTGTGTACCTACAAAAAAGACTCTAAAGATTAAGTTAGTATGTTATTTAGATGTCCTGCATGTGTTTGATCACATGCCTTTTCCTTGTTTCTAGTTGCTCCACTTCATCATTAACTTCTACTTCTATAATAGTTTATAGATGATTTTAGGCATCTCAGATTGAAAGGTTCTCATCTTATGTTTTATATATATCCAAGTTTAAAATTTGTGTTTTAGTCCCTTTAATTTAAAATGTATTTTTAGTCCTTATAATTTTAAACATTATTTTAATTCCTCAAATTTGAAATTTATGTTTTTAGTCTCCAAAATATAAAAAAATTATTAGTTTAGCCTCTCTTAATTTGTCAATATAAGTTGTAATATTAGTAATTGTTCTCCTTTTTTACAACTGATACTTGGTTCTCTAATTTTATCCTTTTGTTTTTCTTGAGACCTATCCTTTTCTCGTCATCAATCTCTCCTCTTGACATAATCTTTTATGTAACCATCTTTAATTAGTCATAGAGGCAGCAAACAATGACCTTACTCTATAGAAGATTTGAGTCACCGTAGAAGTCCTACACAGTGATAATGAGGAAGCACAAAAGAGTAACTAAAACACTATTTTTTTTAAAATTACATTACATGCACTAAAAAAAATAAGTTTTAGTCCCCCAACTTGTGTTTTTTTGTTGATATTTTAAGAATTAAAAATACAAGTTTTAAATTTTGAGAAAAAAATTAAGTTTAAATATGTTTTTAGTCTTTCAAATTTAAAATTATTATTTTTAGTTCTATAATTTTTAAAATTGTTGTTTTAGTCTTCCCAGATCATTAATAACATATTTTAAAGTATCAAAATGAGAAAATTATATAGTATCAACAAAATTTAATGTGATTGTCTAACTAATAAAGATACCAATAAATAGATTTCATGTAATAACATTTGACATATTCTCTAACAAAAATTGAGTATAAGGATTAAAGTAATTTTTTTAAAATTACACAATTAAAAAAAGATTAATTTTAAATATGAGAAATTAAAAATATTTACCTGAGAAAAAAAATTGAAGTCAAAATAAATTATATATAATAAATTTGGAGAAAAAAAATAATTAACTCAAAATAAAATATAAACTAATATAACTAACAACTGACCCTAAACGTCGCCGAGTGTCAGAAAGAGGGAATGCACATGTGGATGGAAATGTTTTCCCTATAAATAGCTGGGGGTGACAATTGAAAGCCGGTTGCGCCCTTTACCTGGGACACTAATCGGATCTCTCAACCTTTTCAGAATCCATCCATTCATTTCTTTTCGTGTCAAAATCTCATAACACCTTCGCCATGGGAGACTTCAACAACGATCCTCTCATGCGCAACCAAAACGCCGCCGTTCAGGCCCGTACCAAGGCCCAGAACCGCGCCAACGTCCTTCAGCTCAAGCTGGTTAGTGGTTACTTCCCTCTCTTTCAAATTTCAATTATTCACTTTCCTCATTATGCTTTATCCCAACGAAATTTTGTTTATTGCACCATAGCTAGGGTTTACGCGCGAAGCCCTTGACAGTGACGGATTCTACACAAATTGAATTGGTAGTGATTTTGTTTATGATGTAGTGCAGATTGGACAGAGTCACCCAACTGGTCTCACCGCGAATCTTTTGAAGCTCTTTGAGCCAAGGCCTCCTTTGGAGTATAAACCTCCTCCGGAAAAAAGAAAATGTCCACCACTTACAGGTAAGTGATTTTGCATTGGTTTTATGCTCTTATTATTGTTGATTATTGATTAATACATGATTGTTAATATATGTTAGTGTTTGTGTGTATGTGCATGTTTTGTTTTCGAAGGGATGGCGCAATTCGTGAGTAAATTTGCTGAGCCTGGTGATCCCGAATACGCTCCACATGTACCGGAAACTGAAACTCTTGTAATGTTCTTTTTCTTTCGAGTCTAATTGTGTGATAGAGTTATTTGGTATGACAATGTGTTGGATTTAGTTTCGTGATTTTGCGTGTTTGTTGCATCTGGCATGTCTCTCAATGTTGTGTTAATTTGCCTTACCAAGAGTTCATTTAGATATTAATATTGGTAATTTCGTACATACACGGGTAATAGTGTATTCATGTGGTGAAAAAGCCTGATGTTAGTAATGTTCTAATCTATTCATTTGTAATGATTGCCGAATTCTGTAATCAGGTTTTGCATGGGGTATAAGATTTTGCAAATTGTTATATGTTTGGCTATATGTTGGCATGGCTCTAAACCATGTTTGCAACATTGAATGTGCATTTATTTTAGTCATGTCTCAAGATGTTTGATTTTATGGTTGCCAATGTTTTAAATCCTGAATAGTGGTGAGTAGCAGTCGGCACCAAAAATGCTATAACAAGATATGTATATTGGTACAGCTGCTATTTTGAAATTTTTTATATAGTTTATATAATGTATTGTGTACTATATATGTATCTCAAAAATGACAAGAATTACTCAAAATTAATGACATTCATACTTAACATTCAAAAATCATAGGAGTCTTAAAAAATTATACAAGTAAATATCAACAAAAGTCAAATGCAAGTTTCCTTGATAGGAATCATCAATCATCATCATCTTCTAAATCCAAGTTGTCTTTATCATTTTCGCTTTTATCAAATAAATTAAAATCCCAAAATAGTCCTAATGTCTCATTTTCAAAGGGTTTTTTTTTTAGAATCACCATATAGCGGCTGCTATAGCTGCTATTCAGCCCATTATTTGGTCTGCTATACTGTATCGCAATTGCTCTACTACAGCATCCCTGGTAGCAGGCAAGGGTCGCTACACTGCTATAGTGTCACTATTTAAAATCCATATGGTTTCATCTTGTCTCAAACAGATTTTAACCCTAAAATCAATTGAGCTTTAAGCAAATCTTGGGTAGCTTTTACACTGGGTGGAGAATTTTGTTCCAAGATTTTCTACAAACTTTTAAGATAGACATTTTCAAACATAATTCACTTCACTTCAAACTCATTTAAGCATAATATATTCTACAAATTTTAGATTATCCAAAAGTTTGCAAAGGTCCATCCAAACACGCACCTAATTGTCGTTGCATATCTGCTCTTTCATATGGTTCTAATTTGCTCCAATATATCGTTTTCTGTGGTCATGAGTAACAATTAGCTAGGTTGATTGCTGCAATAGATTAATTGAAAAATATAATTTCTCTTGTCTCTTGATTGTTTACAAGTTTTCAGTTTGTTTTTGAATTTATTTAGACAAGTGATTATTGTAATGTTAAGTGGACTGACATAACTCTTGCTGAATTTTGTCAAAAAAAAAAATATAAGTTCTTACCAAATCTATTTTATTCATAGAGATAATATATAGCAAATAAAAGCTGTAAAACAGTTTAATGTCAGATCAATTGCCCCACAAAGTGAATAGTATATGTATTTATTGTCGATTGATTTGATTCATTTTGTTGAACTCAGTCGCAAAGAAGAGCAAGAATACACAAGCTAAGATTAGAGAAGGGAGCAGCGAAGGCTGTCGAGGAGCTTGAAAAATGTGATGACTCCTTTATTATTGTAACTTTATTATCTTTTGTGGATTTTCATTCTCTTAATGCTTTTCTGTGCATCTGCTTCAATGTAGATGATCCACACAATGACCCAAATATATCAGGAGATCCATACAAGACATTGTTTGTAGCCAGACTTGTAAGTTATATTGTCCAATATAGTATTTGTTTGGCACTTTCGAGTGGCTTATTGCTTGTATCTCATTGGTGCTATCTTCTAACAGAGTTATGAGTCCACTGAGAGCAGAATCAAAAGGGAGTTTGAGTCATATGGTGCAATCAAAAGGGTAGGTATTTTGAATATCCCCAAAGGGATTTGGTAAGAGCATCGTATATCTTAGGTTCTTAATATCCTATACTAATATTTAACATCTTTACAAGCTATTAAGCTTCAAAATGTATTTTCAAATTCAATAATTTTAAAATAAAGATCTTATTTTATTATAATTGTAACAATATTATTTTGAACCGTATCTTTAGCTGATGATTAACCTGCTTCTTGTAATTTAAATGGTACTCATGATTAACTAGCTTGTCATGAAGTTAACATGATTTTTACTCCATTCTATCTGTTAGAATAGTGGATTAAGCCTAACTCAACCCTACAAAACCGGCTTGTAAGGTAAGGGTTGCTTTCCACTTATATACTATTCAATTGCCTAATCTCTAGTCGATGTGGGACTTGGGTTTTTCCCAATACACCCCCTCACGTCCAGCACTATTGGGCTTGGTACGTGGATAAATGGTGGGTGGCCTTTTTTAATGATCTAGGATTGGCGGGACTTGGGTTTTTCCCAATACACCCCCTCATGCCTGTGAGGCATGCATCAATGGTGGGTGACCCATTTTTAAAGTGGATCTAAATGGCTCTGATACCATGTTAGAATAGTGGATTAAGCCTAACTCAACCCTACAAAACCGGCTTGTAAGGTAAGGGTTGCTTTCCACTTATATACTATTCAATTGCCTAATCTCTAGTCGATGTGGGACTTGGGTTTTTCCCAATACTATCCAAAGTTTCAGGGTTATGAATTACACATCTTGATTTAATTTGTAATTTTTTAGTTGATTTGAAATTATAAAGAATTACATTTGTGCTTCCAATATGTTGTTGATGTCTTTTTATATATTGGTTTCTTTAGTTATTTTCCACTTAGTTCCATCCCACTGTTTATATGTGGATAGGAGATCTTGGGGCATGGGGTAGGAATTGTTTTAGCAGTTAGTTTAGCGTCTCAATACACATTTCTGGTAATGGTTGATAATCTTGTCTGCAAACGGTAAATGATTCTCAATTTTTGATCAAATCCGATTCCCATTCAAATGCTGCATGGTTATTTAGTTGGGCAGAGAAATGATGCAAAATTATGCCTTTCGCCTTGTTTTCAAGCAAGAAAAGGAGACTGACAACTTCTGTTCTTTTCCTGCACTGGGTAAAATATGTTGGGAGTATTACAATCTCTTCCTCTTTTGTTTAAATTATTAGTTAACCTACTTTGATGTTGCTAAAACTTTATTTTTGGCTTTAAAGGCTATCAAAACCAAATCAGCTGTTGAGAAGATGTGATGGTATTTTTTTATATTACTGTAGTTTTTTCATTTTATCAATTTTAAAAAAATATCCCTGGTAAGGGGGGACATTAGTCAACTACTGGTTAATTGGGCCCAAATACATCCGTTTTTCTGCAAGTATTGGCGGTGGTGATGCATCTCGCAATGGGAGCTTTTTGATTTAAAGGTGAGCACGGCTAATTAGGCATAGTGCCTGTCTGCCGTGCCATTTAGGTTTATAGTATTAGTATTTTATTTTGGTTGTATTTTAATGATTCCAAGGTGAGAGCATCTCTTATATTTTCTTCTTGTGCTCCAGACCAGAATGTTCTCTCTTGACTATCGTCTTTTTCCATTTTTTCTTATGATTTAGGTTCGATTGATTACTGACACTGTGACAAATAAGCCCAAGGGTTATGCATTCATTGAATATCTGCACACAAGAGACATGAAAGGTTGATATCGGTTTGATGTGTTTGACTGGTTATTACATAGGAATATTTAACTTTTTACTCACATTTTTTATGTTAATTATGAAGCTGCTTATAAACAAGCTGATGGTAGGAAAATTGAGGGTAGAAGGGTGCTTGTGGATGTTGAACGTGGGAGGACCGTTCCAAATTGGCGTCCACGTCGACTTGGGGGTGGTCTTGGTACTACAAGAGTAGGGGGTGAAGAAGTTAATCAAAAACATTCTGGGAGGTAAATTGAGTAATTGATGTTTTTTATAGTACTTCATACTTTTAATCTTACTGGTGTTTCTAAATAGTGTAGTTAGTGTTATCAGATTAGGCTTGGATTGGGCACCTAAACGGTGTGAGCCATGTATTAGATTGGATATGTCTTTGAACTGGTGTAAACAGGGTTGTCTTGGCTGGGTTTGATGCAAACGGGTGACCTGATGGTCATTGTGACCCAGCTTCAAAGAAGATAAAAGTTTCACTGTTATTTTTACTTTGGCATGGGGCTCAATGCATGCTGTGTAAACCCACGAGGCTCAAGGATGTGTGCCGTGTGGACTTACGGACCCTAGAAGAGTTGCTGCGCTACTTTATGATGTCTAATTTAAAAAGCGTAAAAGATGAAGCACACATGTTACTTATCTCAAACACATGACCTTTAAGTTGTTGAGTGCTGTAATCTACCACTAAACCACCATAATTCTTTGTTTAAAGAGAAAACCAAATAATATATGTACTATTTTTAAATATTATGTTATATAGGCCAGTTCTTACAGTTCAATTAATGATTCACTGATTTGATCAATAACCTACCAACTTAGTACCTTGAACAAGTCAATAACTGGTCTAGTAATGATAATACCAAGTGTAGTAGTAGAAAAGAAGTGAACTCAAAATGTTAATTGTTATGACATTCTATAATATGTATGTGGTGTAGAAAAAAAATCAAAAGTGAATTGAAAATGTTAATTGTTATGAAATTCTATATGTATGAGGTGCTTAATATCTTGATGGGTATAAATTTATAGGTGTTGTATTTGATCGAGTTATTTGCAATAATGAAATCCCCACTTTGTATACCTGGTGATTCTATGATTCTTCTGTATTATGGAATTCTTTAAACCTTTATCAACGTCATAGTATATGTAAATTGGACCTTTGGCAAAATCCAAAATGTTATGCTATTGGAGATATCTGACACCCATTCATACCTCCATATGCCAACCCTTTAGTGAAGTAGTTGTTCTTGTTTTCAGAGATAAAGTTCATGTTTGTGTCAGTGATTACCTGCATTTAACATTTCTTGTTGCCATTTGAAAGGTTATCTCAATTTGCAATACACTGTTGTGACTTATGAGCACCAATGTTTACATATTGTCACCTGTGGATAGTGTCGGATGCTTCCACTTACTGTTGAAGGGAAATTCTGACATGACTTAATTTGTTCAGGGAGCAACAGCAATCAGGACCTTCTCATTCTGAAGAACCTAGAGTGCGGGAGGATCGTCATGCTAATCGGTAAGAATTTCAATGTTTACACTTCAATTTTAACTAGTAGATTTTGGTACTAAACAAATGACTGATGATCATACCATAATTTGTTGGCAATAGAGGTTTGTGTGTGTGTGGGGGGGGGGGGCTATAATTTCTGTAAATTAATTCTTGCAACAATGAGGATTTTGAAACAAGATAATTTCATCCAATGTTTTATGAGGAATTAACTGTGACTTCTGTTTGTCTGACACCATTTTAGGGACAGAGAAAAGTCACGGGAAAGAGGTAAGGACAGAGATAGAGAACGTGAGCGGTCACTTGAACGCCCTAGTGATAGGGCTAGGGATCGTGATCATAGAGAGGATAGGCACTATAGAGACCGGGACAGGAATAGGGACAAAGATAGGGAAAGGGAAAAAGAGAGAGATCGGGGTCGTGATCGAGACAGAACAAGTGATCGTGATCGCGGTCGAGATCGTGACCGAGACCGCGAACACGGTCGTTATCATGAAAGAGATAGGGATTATGAAATTGGGGGAACTGACCGGGGACACTTGCGTGATAGAGAGAATGATTATGATCATGTTGAATCTAAACATGAGAAGGAACATCATGGTGAAAGAGAGCGTGAGTATGAACTTGAGGATGATCATGGTTGGTACAACCAACCTGGATATGGACATAAGCGTGCAGATCCTGACGATGATCCTGATCGCTATGAGCATCATCGTGGAAGGGGGCAGTATGATGAGGGAGATGACCATGGTGATCATTACAATCAATATCCTGATCGTGAGAGGATGGAAGATGACTACCACACTGAACGGGCAACATCTGAATCACAGGACAGGGAAAGAAGTCGTGATATAGAGCATCAATATCATCGCTCAGAGAGGTCTCATTCCCGGGGGTATGATTACTAGGAAAAAGGACATATCACTTCTCAACTTTACTGATAAGATTCATGCTTTACATTTCAGTATACTATTTGGTTACTATTATTCTTGTCAGTTGGTATAAAGCCTGGCTTGATTCTTAATAGCTATTAATGGGTTAAGGCATGGAGATCAAAGCACAACAAAAGAACTCAGCTGCTGCACCTGCTATCCATATGTAATTGTCGATTTCCATATTTGATGTTGGAAGATTTACTGCCGCAGCTTTGGTTTTCTCAGTTTCTCAATTTGGACGTGGACTGCCAATATTGGTGATTGTTGTTCCTTTTATTTTCTCAACACATGTAACATTTTTTTTTCCAGTTTCTGTGAGAACAGTAGTCTGGATTTTAAGTTTTGGTTGGTCTGTTGATATGTGCACGAAACTCTTGCTTCTTAGATGTTGAATGGTGAGGGATTGTTTTCCAGTTATTGATTGTTACTATTACGGTCTGTTTAATCTTTGGGCAAGTTCACGATCAAAGCACAATTCAAGAAAGTGAGAAAGCAAAATAATTGGGTAAGTTAACTCAAATTATCAAGATTTTGCCTTGCGAATTGCGAATCCTGCTTGTGTTGGTTTCATTCATAACTACCGAAGATTTTAGTTTATTACATGCTGAATTGTATGGTTTGATTGGGGATTTGCATGCCAGTTTCAGGTTGATGACGTTGTGTGAACAGTTTTTTTTAATAGGCTAAGCATTTTGTTTTGCGGGGAGCGGCGGGGGCAGTTTGCTTATGATTTGCGGTGATAGGAGGGGCTCAATAATTGTGGAAGTAAGTGCTAAAGGAACTTGACTTTGGTTATTTCATGTTGCAACTTGTTTTCAGGATTTATAGAAAGCTGTAGAAAGAAAAGGCCATTATAGAATAATGATCCTCCCCACCCACCCAATCAGAGGAAAGAGAACGCGATGGGTGGTACTGTATAGTGCAAGCCTATTTTTTTGTCTGTGTTGTGTTGGTGCTGTGCAATGAGTTTATTAGTAAACGATAAACGAAAAGCCGAAAGCCAATGAAATTACCATGAAGCTTCATAGTTTTGCTGTGATAGTGGTTTAGCAAGGACGCACTGTTATCTCTACGAACGAATGCTTGAACGTTAAGTTGCGCGCTACGTTGCTTCAAATTGTTGAATACTTCTTTTATGAAGCTTCGTAGAGCGCTTTGGCTTGTTCCTCGCTCTAGACCCTGTGAAAGTACTTGGTATTGTCCTTACTCCCGATTGTTGATTATCTTGCCATCTCGTGGCTATTCACAATTTTTCAAATGACCATTAATATCATTTTCATTTTATTCATTTTTCTTGACTTTGCTTGAGATGAAAAGAAAACGCTGCAATATTGGAAGAAATGGAGCACCGATAACAGCTGGATTGACCATAATTGATGATGAATGAATAACATCCCTCGCTCCATTGCTCGTCCAACTCCATATTTATAATATGAAATCCGGCCAATTACTTATAAATATATAATATGTAAAAATGTGAATGTAGCGGTACTTATAGATAGAAGAGTTGTTTCTTAACTATTTTTTTCAGAGGAATAGTCTTATACTTTCGGATTATGAGAGTATTCATAGGTTCAACCCTGGTTTAGATAAAAACTAATTAGTGTGTGATTAATGTGTAAGCCATCAAATTTGGGGTTATAGTAGTAGCGAGACATTTGAATAAACAAAATAAGGTTATAAATTCAAATTTCAATGTTACTTCTCCCTCTTCACAGTCAAACCTCCGAGGCTTTCAATGGAACCAAAAGTGTAGAATTTGGAACAAATAAAGTTTTTATACATTATTTGTGTAAAGATACTATAACTTAATTAGAAATAATTTTAGACGAGTTCTAAAATTATGTATTTTTTTGGTTACCAGACAAATCTATTAAACATGTTAGTCTGAGTTATTAATAAAAATGTCAATCTAAGTTAGTATGAAAATGTAAAAACTATCATCGCATTCTTTTTAATCTTTCTATCCAACAAACTGAATTAGAGACTAATTGTGTTTTAGTACTCATCACTGCAATTAAAATTTTTTTATTCATCACTGCAATTAAATTAAATTAAATTTTTTTTCGCATCTAATTAAATTAAAATAAATAGTTTAATAAAAAATCAAATGAATAGAAGGAAAAAAAGTAAAAAAGAAACCGAGCACGATTTGCATTCTTGAAAAGCAAAATATTACTAATGCCTTCCATTAACTAACTCGTTTAATTCGAGTACATACACATGAGTAAATTACCGTGAAGAGAAGATGCTATTTGGAAACAGGGAGGACCGGACGAGGCAACAGAAATTAAGCAGCATGAAAATTTATCCTGGAAAATAAATAGTACCATTCACATTCACTCGTCCAAAAGGGAGAGAGAATGTGTCTTTGTTATATAAGAGAGGATGATGGTACTGAAGAACGCACTCCTCACTCCTTAGTCCTTACTTCTCATACTTTCCTCCCTCCACCATGCTTTCAGAGGCAGCATAAAGAAAATAATAAATTACCAGAGGAAAAAAAAAAGAAAAAACAGAGCGAGAGAGAGGTAGCATACATACATAGCATTCATTGGTCCTTTACTCCTTCCATCTCACACCGTCCACACATGGCCATAGAAGTGAAAAGGAAGACTTCAATATGGCTGCTCTCGTGGTGCCTTATTATGGCCTACAACGTGAGTTTAGCAGAGAGAGTTTTGAAAGACCAAACACCTCAGAGTTTTGTTCCCAAACAAACACAAGGAGTTTTCATCAGTATAATTGATTTCTTCTGGAAGGATGGAGAGTCTTCCAATGACCGTGTTTGGCCCGTCAGTTTATCAATTCATACCACGGTTCATTTTTTTGGCAATTTATTTATTTATTTCATAATATTCTTAGCATGTTGCTCTGAAATGCAGGAATTGAAGTTTGGTTGGAGAATCGTAGTAGGGTCAATCGTTGGATTTTTTGGAGCTGCGTTGGGTAGCGTAGGCGGGGTTGGAGGTGGCGGAATTTTTATCCCTATGCTCACTTTGATCATTGGTTTTGACGCTAAGACTTCCACAGCCATTTCTAAGTGTTAGTATAGTGCTCTATTCTGTTTATTTTGTTCTTTCATGCTAGACACAAGTAAAACATAGCCATGCCTCTAGTTCATATACAGAATCAAGGGTATGTGGATGCATGCATATTTGTACTTTATCATCTTTTTTGAAGTTAGAAGGACAAAATAATATTTACTTACAACTTGCATGCATGATTAATATTCATAGAGTCCTTGTTCTACTTAATCAAGGTTTCAGTTTTGAGTTTTGTGAATGGAAAAAACATTGTTAAGAGAAGAGACTCCATAAAGTAATCAGTTATGTTCCCCGAAAGACATTAGTCATCAGTAAAGTTGGTATATTCTTTGAATAGATAGCATATTTACATACATAAAATATAATTCATAGTGTCACACTTTAAATGCTATTATATTAGCCCATTACACCTAGCCAAAAAAAAAAAAAAAAAAAAAAAGATAGTTTCAATTGCATCAGAACTAGTTTTCTTTTTTATATGGGGATAAATTAGGTTTGTGTAGTTTGAATTCATTTGATTATTAATTTTTAGCCGTTATTTCATAATTTCAGGTATGATTATGGGAGCAGCGGTATCGACTGTATACTACAACCTGAGGTTTAGACATCCAACATTAGACTTGCCAGTTATAGATTATGATCTGGCTTTGCTCTTCCAGCCTATGCTAATGCTAGGAATAAGCATTGGTGTTGCATTTAATGTCATGTTTGCTGATTGGATGGTGACAGTTTTGCTTATCATCTTATTCATTGGTAATCATTATCTACTTATCATAAGCTCAATCTTTTGAATTAATTAAATTTTCGTTCTAGTGAAAGCGCTCTTGTGAGTTTTGGGAAGAAAGCACGTGTTTTAAATAGATTCCTTCATCTAAGAATGATATTTTCATTTTTCTTAAATGAAAATTTCTAGAGAAGTATTTTATCTTTTGTAGCCAATATTACTTATTGTATTTTTTTATGATTAATAAGCAGCTTATTTATGCTACATATGACATGATTTTTTTGCAGTTCTATTCTGATTTTGAATACCTTATCATAATTTGTTTGATTTTAACAAAACTAATCGGTGATAGGTACATCCACAAAAGCTTTATTCAAAGGCATAGATACATGGAAAAAGGAAACAATTATGAAAAAGGTAAACTTACCTCTATGCACTTTCAAAATTCTTTAGTTGAATCTGTAATTTTTCCTACTTGATATCAAGAGGATTATGTTACTGAAATTTCAGGAAGCAGCTAAGATGTTGGAATCAGATTCTACTCCCGGTTGTAAGTCCCTGCAAATCTTCCTATAAATTACAGAGAAACTTTCAGCAACTATATATAACATTACTGCAAAGTTTGAAAACTACAAGGAGCAAAATAAGTACACTACTTAAAACATAGAGGAATAATAAGATTTATCAGATAATATGAACATATTCATTTTCCCCTTACAGCTTACAGGTATACTTTAGGAATGAACCCAGCGTTACAAATTTGTAATGGGGTGAAATTTAGTTTCTTTTCTTTTTTAGTTTTACTTTTACCTTGGCAGGATTTATATGGATAGACTTGATGCACAATTGCAGAGAGCATTGACTTTCCCACTCCTTGTCACTACTTTTTTTTTGCCATCGTATGTAGAGTAACTGAGTTGCTTCGCAACTTGGTTTTGTGATTCTATGCAAATTAAGGAAATATAACTATATAAGGGCGAGAAAATTAAACATTTTCTTTACCCAGCACTTAGTTGCAAAGACCCTCAGTAATGGGAAAATAATCGCTAGGAGAAAAATCATATTTATAGCTTCACAAATACTATGCCAACAAATTGAGGGATTTTAGTTTCATGTCGACTAATATGTTCAATTGCACTATGGAAATTGAAGTTAAAAGAAAAAAAAAAAAAGAAGAGAACTTAATCAAATTCAAACAATCATCTGGTAGAACAAATGATTGAACACTTATGACAACATGATATTCATTAACACAAACAAATAAGAACTGGCTACTTTTAGATAACATCAAACCTTTAGTTCTTAATTAACATTTGAAAGATCTTGTAGAATATCTCTCTAATATTACTGTTGAAACACTATTGCTCATACAGTCATACCGCTTAATGCAGATGCTTCTGAAGATGACTACAAGTCACTACCAGCTGGTTCAGCTGATCCACGAGATGAGGAGGTGATTCCAAGGACCACTCTAGGCAATTCCTTGTAGGAAGTTTATTGAAGATTTATTTAGCCTTATACGTTGTGTTAAATTCTGGTGTGCAGGTCCCTTTAATGAAGAACATCTACTGGAAAGAATTATTAGTCCTTGTGTATGTCTGGGTTGCTTTTCTCATTGTTCAGATTATTAAGGTAGTTAAGTTATTATTATTGGTTTGCTTTCCTGATTCAGTCACAGGCATGCAGTTTTGGGTTATGAAATTTATGTATTCAATCTGAAGCAAAGGAAAGAAGCTGCCCCTAGACCTGTACACCTATATTATTGGAGTCATTTTATTTCTTTGATCCTACAGTCAATGAAGTCAATCCTAGCAATAAATTCATGCCGCTTTGGATTAAGATATGCTACTTAAACATAATTTAGGCTGTCAATGAGGATCTGGGTTTTATATTAGCTTGCTCTACATCTTTTGGATTTGCTCTCTTAACATCCCCTATCCTTATAAATCCCTTTAGCTTGATTCAATTCTGAGAAATTTTCACGAAACAAAGTAACATCCTTACTGCCAACTGTAGCTTTTAGTTTAGTGATAAGCACTTGATCTAACAAAATATTATGTTTACTGAATATGCACCTCTTATCTGTTTCAATGCAGACTTACAGCAAAACTTGCTCCATACTGTATTGGGTTCTTAATTCCTTGCAGGTAAACATTCTAAGTAAATAAATATTTCAGCTATTATTTCTTGTTGTATGACTTGGTACACCAGTTTAGATCAGTTAACAAATACAAAAGAAAAATACAAAAGTTGCAGTGGGGCTGCAACTGTAGAATTCGTAACAAAAACATTTATATGAAAGTAGTAGGCAAATGAATAGAAAATTGCTAGCGAAGTAAATTACTAGTTTTCTACAAAATGTCAAGAGATGTATATAGCTGGTACGTGTGTAAAGGCTGACCCCGCGTAGGATAACTGTTATCTAGCCAATCTATTAGTTTTGAATTGAAGTGCACATCTTTGCTGCAACTTACATAATATTTTGACATCATTTCCCCCATTTGATCTAAATGAATTTTGGCTTGCATATCACTTTAAGGTGCCTATTGCAATCTCAGTTACGCTTTATGAAGCCATTTGCTTGTGCAATGGAACTAGAGTAATTGCATCAAAGGAAAAGGATATTACAGATTGGAAGAAGCTTCACAAGATCTGTCTTTACTGTTCCTGTGGAATAGTAGCTGGTATAGTTAGTGGACTGCTTGGTCTAGGAGGTGGCTTCATTTTGGGACCACTCTTTCTCGAGTTGGGAATTCCTCCTCAGGTACAGAATCATCCATTCTTGAGCATTTACTAGCCTTTAGGTTTCCCAGAACAATCAGACATGAAAGTATAGCCTTGATGCATGTGTCCTCTGTTGCAGGTTGCTAGTGCTACATCAACTTTTGCTATGGTTTTCTCTTCCTCTATGTCAGTGGTACAGTATTACCTTCTAGAACGCTTCCCAGTACCCTATGGTAAGAAGAATTGAATAAAACTATTTAAAGTCATTCCTCAATAGTCAATTGTAGCTAGCAGGTTTATGGAAAGATAAGAGAAACTCATACTAAAGCCAAATGTCCTGTGCCATCTATTTTCTTCAAGATTTTTTGTATTTCAACTCTGGACCTGGGGATTGAAAGAAGATTTTCCATTACGAATAAGGATCCAAATCATCTTTCCATTTGTGTCCCTTTCCCGTTAGCCATAACAGAAAAATGACACCTCAAAAAATTAACAAAAAGAAAGGCAATGTTACTTTTTAGTTTTTATTTTTTAACCATGTGGAAGGGGAGAGTAAAGGGGAACATGTAATTGCTATCCCAAAGAATAAAAGGATGCTAGTAGCACTAGACTTGGATTTTTTGTTAGTTTATTTATTTATTTATTTATTTTGCTTCATTTTAAAGTAGTGATGTGTGAAAATTACTAATATATTTTTTGTGGGTGGGGGGTGGATATGCAGCTTCTTACTTTGTTTTGATTGCAACCATTGCTGCATTAACTGGCCAGCATGTGGTGAGAAAGATAATTGCTATCTTCGGTCGAGCATCCATCATCATCTTTGTATTAGCATTCACCATTTTTTTGAGCGCAATCAGTTTAGGTACTCTCCATGATTTTAATTGGAAGTTTCAGCTTCTGTTCCATGCATTTTATCTTTTGTTGATTGGTTTCTCCAAACGTACTTATTTCCTCTTTTTTGGGTATCACAGGTGGAGTTGGAATTGAGAACATGGTTGAGAAGATGGAAAATGATGAGTATATGGGGTTTGCAAATATCTGCAATCAATCTTAGATGTGTTTTGCCTTTCTAGAGAAGTGGAAGTTTTCTATTGATAACATTTTCCAGAACTTTTAAATGCTAGTGACACACTAATACTCATTTGAACACTTTTTATTTTTTACTGAAATTTATTGGAAATCACAAAATTATATGGGTCTTACTTTTTATTTAATGAGTCCCATTTATAGTTTTGTAATGTCTAATAAATTTCCATTATTAATAGAGTGTATCAAAGAGTATGTAGCTCTCTTCTTGTACCTTTTCATTCAAGTAAATAAATTATTTTTTTTTCCTCCTGATGTTGTATTCATTGTAGAAGTATCAATACATCACTTAATAGCTGCATCATATCCTTTCCTATCTCAATACAGATATCATCCGTTCAGTTTCCACTTTGGTTTCGATCTTAGTAATTCAGTTGATCAAGTGTTAACAAGTACTTAAATAATTGAGACAAATCTGAATGATGTACCTAAAATCTATGCAACATGTATGCAATGATGTTTGTCGTTTTTTGGGGTACATAATGTGTGTGCTTTTTAATCGGTATAAATTTTGTCAAGAAATCAAACATAACATTTTTTTTGGCTCATAACAAATCTTTTAAATGACTAGGCTGAATATCAAACTTTACCTATGATATTGCAAAAAGAACTTTTCATGGGCAATTTGTTTGCTTAGAGCAAAATTAAAGGAAATAAAATAAACTAATTTTACTGTTAAGAAACCATATCTTAGTCAATTGCAGACTAGAAATGGCTTATTGGGAAATTCAAGCAATATTTTCTTATATAAGCATCCATTGTGTCTCGAAAAAAGAAAGGGCATACACTGCACAATTATGGAACCGAAATCGATTAAAAGACTGAATTTGCTCTTGATTGTCATTGAGGCCGTAAGAAATATATAAGGTTATTTAAATGCATTTACATGAAATAAAAAATGCAAAGAAAAATATATTCGTAATTCGGAAAGTGTAATGGGCCATTTTGAGGCATGGATGGACCTCTATTAATTTTCTTGTTTGATGAGCACTATCTTTATCATTGGGCCTATCGGCATATATTTCGGCTATTAATTAAAACCCAAAAAACTGTTAGCAAAGACAAAAAGAATATTGTTGCAAAAAAGTTCCATTGCCGGGAATCGAACCCGGGTCTCTTGGGTGAAAGCCAAGTATCCTAACCGCTGGACGACAATGGATTGTTAGAATGGAGTTTCCTAATATATCTATATATTAACGTGATATATATTATGCAAGAAGTGAAATAGACAAATTCTTTCAAATCTTTTGAAGTTGATTTTAACTTATCTTATTTTACTTTATTTCTCATTTCACGTTATTTATATTTTTTTTTCTTCTATGATTGACATTTTTAAATTTACTATAATGTTTTATGATTTTGTCATTATAAAAATTTATTAAACATTAAATTTGAAAAATTCAACAACATTAATTATCTCGCTACTCCATAAGTGAGTTGCAACATGATCTGAAAAATTTCTAAGGACTCATAAATCCTCAAGACTTCTTAGAAAGGACCTTATTACTTAAGAGTTCACAACACCATCTACCATGACCTTTTGAGGATCCTTGTGATTATCAACTACAAATACTTGAGCATTCACATGTTGCTTATCTTTTGTTATTCGTTGACGCTTTCATGCAACGCTACCGCCTCTTGTCCATACCATAACTTTACATAACAATAAGTGATCAATCAATTTCAAAATATAAAGATAGTTGATCAATAAATTTCAAACACATAAACCATAACAAGAATCCTAAAGAGAAATGTAGAGATGAGAGAGAGAAGTCAACAAAACAGAGAAAGAGTAAGCTAAAGATGAGAATAAGTTAGAAACAACAGAACAAATGAATGTAGAGGAAGGTAAAACGTGTGAGAAGAATTACTTGGAAGAAAAATGTATATGGACTGACACCTTTTCCTTTAACACTAAACTCTCTTGTAGCTTATAACAAAACCAAAAAAGGAAAAGGATAATGCAAAAATTGAGAGAGATAGAAGGAGAGATAAGGAGGTGCATAAATAAAACAGAAAAAAAAAAACGACAAAGAAAAAACAAAGTGTGAAAAAAAAAAAAGAATGGAGATGTAAATTTGAAAAAATATTAAGAATAATTTAAAATTTTAATATTTTTAAAAAAGTAAGGAAGTGTGTTTATAAAAAATATATAAAAAAAGGAATTTGTTTATAAAAAAAAAAAAATAAAGATGTGTATATCATTAGCCATTTGCTAGTGTGATGAGCACATAATTTTTTTCTGAAATAATATTTTTTCAAAAAAAAATTACAAGAATGATCACTGTGCAGGATTATTTACCAAGATAGAACCATTTACTGTTCAAGCTCAGAATTCGGTTCCCCGGGAACCGAATTCTGAGTTGGTTTTAAATTTTTTTTTTTATTCGTGTATGGGGGCAAATATGGGCTGATCTGGGAAGCGGAACGACCCGTTCCAAAAGCAGAACGGGCCAGAATTTGCACTCTGTTTCTTTAAGCAGAACGGCCCGTTCTGCTTTTGGAACGGGCCGTTCCGCTTCCCAGATCAGCCCACATTTGCCCCATACACGAAAAAAAAAAAAAATTTAAAACCAACTCAGAATTCGGTTCCCCGAGAACCGAATTCTGAGTTGAAAAAACAAAAAAAATTACATTTTGATGCTCAGAATTCGGTTCCCGGGGAACCGAATTCTGAGCTTGAACAGTAAATAGTTCTATCTTGGTAAATAATCCTGCACAGTGATCATTCTTGTAATTTTTTTTAAAAAAAATATTATTCCAGTAAAAAATTCGACGAGCACAATCTTTATTGAGCCTATTGCCTTATAGTCGGGCGTCAGCTATTACTTGAGAAAAAAAAAGCTTTTAACAAATAAATTAATCATAAAAAGAAAGAGGAATATAAAATGAATTCCATTGCCGGGAATCGAACCCGGGTCTCCTGGGTGAAAGCCAGATATCCTAACCGCTGGACGACAATGGATTTGTGAGCATTTTTCACCTTTTTTATATCTCCAATATTAATATACAAAATTATAAAATTACCTTACCAAACCGGCAAACTCTATTTGAAAGCAGGTGAAGGCACGAAGTAGTTGAGATAAGTATTATGCACGAAAGTATTAAACTATTTTAAAATGAATTAATCACTTATATACTGCTAGTGTAAAGTTTTTTTTATACTGGTAATCAATTATCTTTTAATTGTGTCATGTCATTGTAAACACATTTACTTTTAACAATGACATGACACAATTAAAAGATATAATGAGTTACTAGTGTAAAAAAACTTTACACTGACAGTGTATAGGTGATTAACTCTTTTAAAATTTATAGGATGATTGGTTGTCAGTGTAAAAAACTTTACACTGCCAGTATATGAATGATTAACTCTTAAATAAATTAGACGTCTCTTCCTTTTGAGTTTTGTGTCAATTGCAATTTTTATTTTAAAATATACGCTTCTCTCTTAGGAAAAATATATTAAATTAAATTTTTGTACTATTATGGACTATTTTAAAATATACGCTTCTCTATTAAATTTTTATTGATTTTAGAAGGTAGAGTAAAGTTTTAAATACCTCTATTATGGACTATTTGACTTTGAAATTTCATCTTTTAAGATTACAAAATTGGTTGATGTAAAAAAAAAAATTAGAACATTGATAATAAAAGTTCAAACATGTAAATCTTGTGGAGAATAATCATCAAGAAAAAACTCTAAAATACTCATTTAACACATATCTTTATTACATTAAAATGAACTTAATTTAATATTACAATATTTAACACATATCTTTATTACATTAAAATGAACTTAATTTAATATTACAATATTTATCTTCGAATAAAGGAAAGTGTAATTGTATAAATAATTTCAGCAGAGAAAAATATAATTTACTCCTATATTTAATTTTAATTTGTATTTATTGTTAATGTAAATTTTACAATATCGTCTAATTATAATGTATCGTTTATGTGACTTTTTAAAATAATTATTATAAAAATTAATACATTTAACGTACATAATGGATAAAAAAAAATTAGCATACATAATTTGTATTTAAATGATAATCACAGTTTGTAATTGTACCAACAAACTTAACATGTTTTTTTTAATTAGCAAAGCAAATTTCATTAAAAGAGTAAATTAAACAGATATTCAAATCCATATATATATATATATATATATATATATATATATCATGACAATCGAACAAATGTGAATTAAACAAATCTAAATATACATAAGACAAGATTCATGCACCATTCAACTAGTAAACAATGCTCTTTAATTGGAGTTAGCTATAAACTACCTCCAAAACATAGCCTTTATTCCATCAAGTTCTCCTCAAAACTCACCTCATGTTAGAGAAAATAATCTGACTATAGTTCCAATATCTATGGGTTCCAATGTTCAAGGCACTTATCAACGGGGCTATGCAGATAAGGGTTGTGTAAAAGGATATTCATGTAAGCAGGTCTGCTTTTAAAATACAGACTTGGATCTCTAATGCCGTGTAGGATTCATGCATGTAGCTAGGGTCGTGGAATCATTTCATATTTGATTTATTAATGCGTGAAATGCATAATCTTTGCAGGGATGTTGTCGCAATTTGTTAGCTTTAGTGTTCTGCATGCTTGTCATTGCATTGTGTAAGACCCTTTATTCCTGGCACTTTTTGTATTTTGGGTTGTTGTTATATGCTTCACTATATTCCTTTCCTATACCCCTAAGAATATCTTAGCAAACATTTGACAAGGAAGGGCAAAACAAACCTGTCTTGTCGATATGAACACTCATTTTGATGATATCATATTAGGACTCAAAATGAATCGACCTAATTTGTTTTGGTTTAATAATATTTAATTTAATTCAAAATTCAACTTATTTGACATAACTTTTTTTTTTTTTTAATTCAAACTTAACTTTGCTCAAATTCACTAATAATTTGATTCAATTTGTAACTCGAAACACATTAATCAATATTATTTTTTAAAATTTTGTACATTTTAAAATTTTATTTATTAACAAATTTTAGATAAAAATAATTGTTTAATTTTTTTATTTAGAAATGCAAAACAACTTATTTTATTAGTTTTACAAGGTTATTATATATGACTTCAAACAAACATA